CATCAGACGCCGGAGGAGGCATACATAAGTTTCGCGGTATACCGCTGTCTTTTAAAAGAAAAGGTGAACTAAATTCCCTATTCGGAGTCTCTATCTGTTGATTGTGTTCTCATTAATGGCCAGCAATCGTAGGAGTGAGTGGACTCCAACGTCCGAGGCCGTTTATCATTATTTCATTAAAAAAGTGTTATTTTTAGGAACATAAATCTTAAATATTGAAAATAAAATGAGAAATAGTTTATTTATTACATATAATTATAGTTTTTATGATATAATTTATACATTATTCATGTAATAGCTTTTTAAATGTAAAGATAAAAATGGAATATAAAAAAAAAACGAAGTTTCCAAATAAGTACCATATTCTGGAAATGCAACAAAAGTATAGGTGTTTGGGTATTCACTATTACATTGGAATTTATTTTCCAATTTTCCTTTCACTTTAAAAGGAAAAATTAAAGTGAAGTATTAAGGTGCTAACTGCTTGTGATACTAGTTATTTGCCTCATTACTTCCTAGGATCTTTCTCAGTTCTTATTAGCATTCTCTGTTATCTCTGTTTTCTTCTCTAGCCTGAAGGCTGAATAAAAGAATGGACACAACCCGGACGTGGTAACGGTGTTTAGCGCTGAGTTGCGAGTTCATCAGCGAGAACAGATAAGAATTTTCTAATTGATATGGGTTTTTCTTTTTTCATATTAAAGATAATCCAAGAATTGACCTCTAACGTTTCAAACATTATCTCAATCACCATGCGTGAGCACTGTTCTGTCGCGTTAGGAATATGTATCGGATGTCGGGAGATGCTGCCGCGCGGAAATCATATTTAATCAGTCTCAAGCGGTATCGGTCCCAGGCGTACTACACCTTCATATCGTATATAATGATTATTTACATTAGCATCTTTACATCTATCCGGCTCCCATTCAAATATTTCTAAAAACTAAAATTTTATAGGCTTTGTAAGATAGACAAAATTCGAAACAATCCCGGCCACTTGGCAGTCTAGACGAATATGGGAATCCGGGGACCTTAACCGTAGTAATAAGTATAGTTAGTGAAAGTCTATTATATATAGCATACTTAAAGGATAATTTTGAACCATAATGATAAGATGAAAGCACTAGAATCAAATGAAATCATACTACATTATTAAGTCATTAAGGTGTTTTTTCTATACCTTTAATTACAGTTTTTCTTAACAAGCAGATATCTCGTTTTAATAAAAAAAAATAAATAAATAAAATAAAAATTAAAAAAAAGAGAATCATTTGGTTTCTTTCTACTTAATATTTCAATAATAATTATAGTTATTATTATAACACAATATTACTACAGCTTGAGCCAAAATCTAATATTATATATTTTACCATCACTTAAATATTTATATAAAAATATTAAAACTTCTAAACTGGGCTGAGATGGGATGACATTTTTTAAATTCACATTCAAATAATATAAATTTGAAATATGTATATATTATATATATATATATATATATATATATATATATATATATATATATATATATATATATATATTTATTTATTTATTTATTTACATTATAGTCTATATTATAGTTTGTGCCACGGACTATAAGTTTGTATAAATTTTTATTAAACTAAAAAAAAAGATATTAAAATAATGATTTGTTTTGCTGGTTAGTCATATCTAGTTCCAAGTAGGCGCTTGCCAGTGCGCCAGTCAATCAAAATTTTCTTGCCAGTGCCTCGCTGGCCTCTCCAGTGACTGGCATGAACCGTTTACACGTTGCCAGTCGCTGGCATTGAGTGACTGGCGACCTCGACTGGCAAGCCAACTGGCACCGTGTAAATGAGCCTTTACAGACTACTACACCAAGTTTAAATAATCTTTGATGTAAAGTTCCCTAACAATATAGCAAGATGTTCAAGTTAATATGCAAGTACATTTTCTTAGGATAGACAGTATTTAGAATTTCTGTAGTCAGTTATTATTTTTAATTAAATTTTTATTTATTATTTTATCAATAAATATTATATTTCTTCTTCTTTTTAAAAAAAAAAATATTGTTTTAAAATGTATTTATGAATAACTTCATTAATTTTTAATAAATAGAAAGATATATAGATTAAAATAAAATATTTTGGTTTTATAAGTTGTTATTTAAACATTTATTTTACCCACATCTTTCTCCTTTTTATTTTTTAATTATTATGGAAACATATTAGTATATTATAATATTAACAATACGAGAAATTTGTTTGTCAATAACTCCTCAAACAGATCTGGGAAAAAATATTTTAAATTATATGTGGCACCTATCAAAAGTATGTTATATACAATTTTGAATTTTTTTTATAGGTTTCACCAGAAAAATAATTTTTCTCTGTTTCTTGTCACAGATATAAAGTAATTACATTATCTGCAGAAAAAATACTTTCAAAAACAACTTCAACAATTACATCATATAATATGGAATGTAACTTAAAGGGATATACTAAATTTTATTTATTTTAAGTGTATAAAATACTAAAAAAAATATAATTATCAACAATATATATTATATATTTGATTTCATAAAATGTTCAAATCTTGTAAACAAAATTATGAAGTCCAAAGTAATTACATTGTCTACAGAAAAATATATTTGTAATATAAATTACTTCTAGTATAGTAACTCTTTAGGAATGTAATCTCAAAACTTGGTGATTTATTTTGAGTATTTAAAGTAGAAAACAAAATACAGCTATCACCAACGTATCTTGTATTTTGCTCTTTAAAATAAAATAAAAAAATACTTTATTTTGTACATTAAAATACTTCATTTACATAGGATGCAGATGATAATTGCTAAAAACCTAAATATTCTAATGCAGGGGTCTCTGAACGTATTGGCCCACAAGCCACATTGAGGCCTCCAGTAAGTGCCGCATAAATAAAATAAAATGAGCTTAAAATTAAGATCGACTGCTATTAATATAACTCAACAAATTTTGAGGTGATTTGTTTTGAGTAAAATACAAGTTATCAAAAATATCTTTATATTTGGCACTTTAAAATATAAAAGATGTAGGTTTTATAAAATCTTTCAAATTTTTAATAACATTTTTAATTCATTAATAAAATTAAAAATTGCGAGGAAATAACTTTATTGAAACTTTTCGCCTCCTTTCCATGCTTCAATTCATTTTTTTTTTTTTTTCAACGACGTCTCAGGCAATTTTGCCAATTTTTAAGACAAAATCTTTATCTATAATATTACAATACATTAATCACAAATATATATATAAAGATGTAACAGCACATACAATAACACTATAAAATTCCAAAAAGCTAACTTAATGAATAAAATCTCTACTTACATCATTATCTTATCATCTATGTTATATTATTATTTATATAATTTTTATAAAATCTTTCTTCATTTTTATCCTCACATTCCTCTAATATTAATTTCATAACTATTTATGAAAAGTCAATTCTAGAATTAAAATAAAAATACAGAAATTTACAATACATCTCAAATAAGAAAAGGCCAAGCCACGAATTTTTATACAATTTACCATACTATTTTATAAATTACCTTTGGACACCTCACACAAATTAAACATTTTTTTTTTAATTTATCAAATGATATACATTTTCATCCTATATATATAATTGGATGAATACATAGGATGATACATATCATAGGATGACATAATTCTTATCATATGTATTAAGCTGTAGGCTTACATATTATTATGGTCTTTGGGATAAAGAGTACTGCATTATTTTAATGCTTTAAGTTTCATATTATTGCTAATAATTTTGCTGACCTGATTATTTAAATTACTTTAATTTATTAATTGTCTTCATAATGCTGCTCAATCGCCTTAATATCTGTTTTGAAATTAACAACAATTTGAATATTTTTAGTTATATAGATAGATTCAAGATATTTTCATATTTCATTATCTTCAGCCCTATTTAAAATTTCTATTTTATCATAATCAAAAATAAGATTTTTCATGAAACTATGCCTTCCTAGAGCTGTGACATTGATATTTTTCAGGTTCTTAGTATTTATTTTATGTTGGTTTATTCTATTTTGCAAATTTTGAGATGTTTCCCCAATATAAGATTTATTCATGCACTGCTCACAATTAATTTTATAAATTACATTCTGTTTATTCTCTTTTTTAATTTTATTCTTCATCTTTGTTTAATTTATTATTATTATGTACACAAAATTTTATATTGTTATGGTCATATTTTTTTAATGCATGTTTAATTTTATTATTTATTCATGGTATATATTTCAATTTAAAAAATCTGCTCATTTTCATCATTTTATGTCTTACTTTCTTTTTCACTATGATCTTTATCATTTTCAATGGTTTTAAAAAAATCCTTTATCAATCCCCTTTTTTTGTTTTTTTTAGTTATAAACCTTTTTATATTATAATTATAGCCATTTTTATATATTTTTTTTATTAAGGCACTTTAGCTTTATTAGGATTATTTATCTCCTGATAATTTCCATACCACTGCCTTTTTATATATTTACATTGGTAAAAATTCCATATTATATTTAAAATCCATTATATATAATATCTATTATATTTAAAAACTCCATTTGAAATACTGCCCTAGATTTGTTCCAAGTCGCAAATATTTTGTCTACCTGTTGTGAGGGTAGCCTTCTCTGCTAGCTGTAGAAATTGGTCACAGAATTTTTTTTTTTTTTTTAAGGTAAGCGACAAATCTGCTTTTAAGGTTTGGTTTTCACAAAAACTGTAATTTAGCACAAGCCAAATTTTATAGGAAAACGAACATTATGACAAAACTTAGAGTTTACACAATAAAATTTATTTCCTATATACCAATATTAGGTTAATAATATGAACTTGGTAACACGATGTAGTTCAATACCAATAAGAGACTGGTTTGTTCAAGCTAATGAATAATATAAACAGACACATCTGATTAGCTGTTCCCAGAAATGTTTGATCAGATCTGTTAAAATACAAGACTTGCTATAAAACATGTCTTCCTGCAACAGTTCTTCATTCAATAACAATGAAGTTCATCGCCTACTGTTCTTTCTTAGTCATCTTCACCATCTGCGAAGCCAGGGTAACTATCTTTGCTACTTTTGAAGTAAATAAAAATCTAATTATTTTCTCATAAGTTCTTTATTTTACCTTTAAGATAATTATATAAAAATATTTTTGGAATAGTATTTTAACAGTTTCACATAATTGGTTAATTGCAAAAAATAATTAAGTTACATCTGAAAGAGACATTATACTTATTTTTGACATATAATAAAGTGATCCATCAAAATATACTTAATGACTTTTTGCTATATACTGACAATGTACACTGCATTTTTATGATAAGATATCATGGATACAAATCATAAAATTACTTTTTTGAATATAATGTAAAACTTTTTTTTTTGGTTTCTAAATAATACAAATATATTTATCATATATCAATTAATAATTATAATAAATAATCTGTTATAATTTATGTTTGAAGTATGTACCTGGAGAAGTTCCCGACTTCTATGCGATGGTCGAACCACATATGAAAGCTCAAATTCCTAAATACATCAAATCAATTGCCAAGGATTTCAAGGTAAATAAGATTTGAATTAATTTATAATATTTTGTTAATTTTATTTGCATAAAAAAAAGGTTAGGAATTTTTTTAAATTTGAATTCACAGTAAAAAAAAAAAAATTAATGACACAAATTAAGATTTTTTTTATTCATTTCTTGATATTTGCATCTGTATACTTATGTACAACAAGTTTATGTAATTTTATTTAATTTATTTTTTAAAGTGCTCTTACTGCAATGATATGGAATTTTATACTAATCTAGGAATACCTAGAATTGTGGAACAAAGTCCCTTGAGAACAATATTAATATAGCACTGCATAGTGACTAAAACAGTGTGACTGGACTCATTGATATAAATAAAAAATGAATTAAAATACAGTGTAAAGGAAAAGAAAATTTGTATAGTAATTAAACTGCTAAAAAAATATGAAACGAAATAATAACTTGTGAACAAGCTACCTATTGGTAACACATTAATGATTAGATTAATTTAGGAGGTTCAGAAATTGTTTTGGATGAAAGGTTATGTATTAGAGGGTTTGGGTGACCAAATAGTTTGGAAGTAAAAATAGAAAAATTAAATGTGTTCTAAGCCTTCAAAAAAAGGGAATGTTGTGGTCTTTATGGATAAATTTATTTGGGGCATAATAAGGAGCTTTAATGATTTTATGGAGGAATTTGGATTGTAAGGATTAGATAAGGGAAGAATTCATAGAATTCATAATTCGAGTAGAATATTGCAAGTTTCTCAAGTGTTGCAGTAATCGAAATCTTGCAGTTTCTTATCTTTTAATTCTTGTATGAAGATTCCAATCAAGACATTTGTCAAGGAGGAGTCCTTGGAATAGCATCTATTCGACAGAGATAAGGGGAATATTGTTAAATGATATTGTAGTACAGGATGTAGTAGATTTACAATACAAATTAATTTTTTTTTTCCTGTGATTGCATCGCTCAATCAAATTTCTACAATATAAAATCAATAATTTTTTATAATTTGTATTTATTATTTAATGTAGATACAATAAATTGTTATAATTGATACAGGATTCTTCCTTACTTTTTATAGTCCATATAGTTTGTTTTTTTTAAATAAATTTATTCATTAGTAAAAAAAATATAGACAAAAAACTAATACTATATGATAATTCGTAGTCAGTATTGTGGCATAGGGATGTCCTTCTATGAGTAATCTCGTGGTTATTTTAGATGTATATATTTGCAACTAAGATGAAATTTCTTGTATTTTTTTTTATAATTACTATTTATTAAAATTAGAGCTCGTAATGAAATAAAATACAATCGAGTTAAATTGTCTTTGAAAAGTATCATGGTAGTCAAAGTGTTAAATAAAATAAAGAGAAAAAATAAAACTAATAATGAGATTTTAACAATGAAAACAAGTGATTTACATTACATAACATTATGTATCTGTTTCAGTACGCAGCTGATGCGTTTGCAACTATTGAAAAAAATGTGACTATCGCTAAAACTCTTATGTCCAACGAACTGAAAGATGTCACCAAGAACATGATTAAGGAAACTTTGGATTTGATCCAGGTAAAAGAAGGGAACATTATTGACTTATTTTTTAAACCTCAGATGTTTATGACATTACTGACAATTAATTGTGAGTAATTAAAAGTTAATTTACTATGAAACAGGAAGTTGGAAACAACGAAATGATTCTAATTTTCGTGCAATGTTATCCCCAAGGATTAAAGTTCGCCCAATTTTACAGTAGTGTGAACATTTAAAGTTCATTTAAATCTAAGCTGACACAAATCTATCTTTGTCAATCATAAATTATAGAGAAAAGATCCAGCCTGCTTTAGCACAGGACAACCATGACAACTGAATCATTAGACTCAAATAAATAAATTTCAAATCTAATATGGTAGTGTTATACTATTAATAACAACTAATTGATATGTTTAATAAACTAGGGGATATCCCTATCAGCCCAATGGCGGATCAACACTCACTTTACAAATTATATAACTATTCATTTAATTGTCCTATTCGTTACGCAAATTGTATAATTTAGTTTATATGTATTGTTCAATCTGTTGTTCAGATTTTATTATTTTTTATCAACAATAAAAATAAAATAAACAAACCACAGTTCAGACAAATTTTTAATTGCTTTATATTATACATCGTGTCTTATTACTAATTTATATTATTACATATTATAATTATTCTTATAGCAAATTATTAACATCTGCCTAAAACTTGTAAATAGCTTCATCTCATCGTAACCAACAAATATTCTCGGAATTGGAGCGTTTTTGAACTGGAGATCGGCAAACTTTGTCTATTGCATTATGTACCTAAGACTCATGAATACCCATTCGCTTTCCACCTGAATCGTAAGATAATGTGATCAGAAAATCGAAAAAATAGGTGTCTTTCTTTCTCAGATAACAGTTATTTCAGCTAGTTCCTTCTCCAAAATAGCCCACAACTGAACCATTCAAGACAATATTCTTAAATCTTTATTACCTCAAGTTATAACTTTCTCTCAAGAATTTTTATTCCAAATTGTTTAGTCATAATTTAATTTAATTTTTTTCTTAATTTCTCTTTCTGCATTGGTGTGGAAGTTTAGTCTAGTTTAGGGAATAGGTAGATTGCTCACTCACCTCTCATTATGACTCTTCCGATATAGATGAAATGAAAAATGTCTTTATTATTCTGAAACAAAGTCTCTCAAGAATAAAATTAACAAAGCACTGCATAATGGCCAAAACAGTGTGGCTGGACTCATTAATATATATGAAAATACTGCATGAAGGAAAAGAAAATTTTTACAGTGATTAAAACAATTAAACTATATTAAAATAAATAAACAAAAGGAAAAAATGGAAATGATAATAATAAGTATGTGGAAAATATTTCTAAAATGATTTTTGAGAAACATTTGAAATATAGAGAAAGGCGGTTTAGTATAAAATAATATTAATTTGACTGAGCGAGGAAAAGGCTGAAGCAGAAACAATTCAAACCACCAAAGGAGCTTTCATGAGGAAACCATTGAAGCGTGGCGGACGATAGGTGGGATAGAGTTCTGGAACGAGGCAGCTCAGGTCAGGAAGGAAAGCTGCAGTTCGGTGGGGAGGAGAGTAGAAGTCACAAGGACAAGATCAGGTGGGTCAGGATTTGATGGATGATTTAAATTGCAGGGTCGAGTGAGATTAGTGAGAAGAAACAATTGACTTTTGTAGTTAAAACTTTCAATTCAAAATTTTTTTTTTTCAAATTTATTTAATTATAAGAATATTTATTTATTTATTTGTTAGTTATCTTCTTATTTTTATTTTTCTTATTAAGAAGCCTACGTTTATAATTTTTTCATATTTAAGACAATATTGGAAGTATTATTGCCTTAAATATGAAAAAATTATTTTTTTTCTTGCCAGATTCGTATTGTGAATTCATTATATTGTGTTAGAATTTTTATTATATTTTAAACACATAAATATGAATACAAATATTTATAAATATATTATAGAAATAATATACTCCTAATCATTTTTTTTTGTTTAGGCTACTATTGGAACAAAGATCACAGATGAGAAAGCTCTCAAAGAAATAGAAGAAGCATTTTCCTTGATGTCCCAAGAATACCTTGTACAATATGAAGTATATATATTTCTTTTATAATTGTTATAATTAATATTATTGTGAAAAAAAAATGTATAACTTATAAGGATTAAAATTTAATTTTAATGAATAATAATTACCTTTTACTATATCAAAATCTATTGAAGTAAACTGAAGTATATTAAATATATGTTTTTAATATATTGGATTATATATAAAATTTAATTCAACTGTCTGAATATTGATTGTTTTATTTAAATTGTCAGACTTTATCTGGAAGCATTAAAGGTTTGAAAGATCACCTGCTCGCAAAGGAAAGCTTAGTCGATGAAATAATCAAGAAGAAAATACCCGAGTTGATCGATGACTTTGTCAAAAAAATGAAGGTAAATTTATAATTTTAATTATAATCATTCAAAGTACAAGTATAAGATTGAGTAGAACAAAATGGCTTATGGCAGTAACAAATTCTAGTACTTAACCTTAGATTACTAAACTTTTTTAATTTCAATCACTAAAACCAAATTATCGATTTAAAAAATAATAAGAACAAATAATGATGTTATGTTTCTTATGTATTATTTCTAAAAGGTGTTCTTTTGTCGGTACGCCATATCTTCATCAAATCCAATGATTGATCACTCATTTTAAAGATCTTCTCCTTTATGTGCGAAAAATAGTCCTATCTCCTTGAAATTTCTGGTGAAAACATATGAAGCAAAAGAAACTTTATTCACGAATAACTCAAACAGTATATATTGTTTTCTTGATTTTACCCTTGATTATTAGAAAGATTACTAAATTCCCTACAAATCAAAAAAATGATCCAAAAAATCGGACATTTATTAACAAAGATATTGTCTATTAGTTTTGGTATACTTAATAATTTCTTCCTCTTCAAAAATTCTGCATTTACTATAATTCTGCTACCATTTTTTCCTTTGGCTGATATATACTTTATTATTTCTTAAAAGCATTTTTTTGTTGGTACATTTTATATTTTTTAATAACATAGAAAATCCCATGATCAACACTTTATTTTGAAGATTTATGGAATTAATTGAACTTTTGTTATTCCAGTTCTTAACAAAATTTCTGTTAAATGAACAATAAACAGTAATTGGGCTTAGAATTGAGTCATAATCGATCTCAAATGAATCACACATGACTTTAATGTGTCATTTGTTTGAGTAGCTATGAATAAAAGTCATTCTTTAGATCAGCCTTTTAGTGAAATCTGTAACTTTTAAATAAAAGTTTTTTAAAAATAAAAGTTCTTTAAAACCATTACTTGAACAGTTGCAAGGGAAAAAGTTCTAATTCTATAAGAACTGAAAAACTATCGATAATATAAATTCCAATGATTCTGAAACTTTTTAAAAGTAAAAGTTTTTTTGTTCGGTTTCAAGCCCTCTTTAAAATATACTAAAGATTAGTTCAAAAGGTGTTACAAACAAAAAATAGGAAATCTTTTTTTTTCTTCATTTTGTCTTTTAACCATGTATAAAAAAATATAACAATATTTCATCATATAAATTTTTATTCTGCCTCATTCAAATCTCACAACTTTATTAGAAGTTAAAAGAAACTAGCTGATTTCAGTGCTAATAACCTTCATATAGGTTATGGCATAACTGAATCTCATTCTTGAAAACATAAATTTGACATATGCATAGTTACCATTCTATTGCAAGAGAAGAAATTTATCCAGTTATTTGCTTAACTAATATTAAAAATTGAGTTAGGCAGTGTTAGAATTCAAATGACAATAAATAACAACATTACAAAACACTATAAACGTAAGCAGCATTATGTTTTATTTCTACTCTACAAATTTATCAATGGATCGAATTAAAAGGAGGAAAAAAAAATGTTATTTCGAGTATTTTTATTTCTGTTTTTACAATTCAGGAATGCTTGTCCGTTACTTCAGTGAATTCTAGAATTATGAAAATTTTTTTTTGCATTTTTATCACATCCAATCCTTAAAATCCAAAATCCACAATGTTACTTACTTTGTAACAAAAAAATCATCAATAACGATTCTAATGTTCTCCATATGTTTCCGATTTGGTCCAATCCAGATAAACTTTAAAACCATCCCAGTCCTCTTGCTTCTAACCATGCTTCCTCTTTGACCCCTGATAACCCTCCAAGTCTTCTGAAAAGAAGATGGCCTCATGATCTCCTGATTTGATATTTTATTAGAGTGATTCCAACGGATAGTTTCTCTACAAGCCATTTCATGTCATTATATTTCTCTGTATCACATTTATTAGATGAATTTTTATTTGTATACAGTTGTAAATTTCATTATGTAAATTTTAAAAAAATACATTTTTATATATTTATATGTTGAGCCAATCGTCCCAATTTTTAAAAATTTAAAGAATTCTCAATTTAATTTAATGTAAACAATATTAAAAACATTTGTTAGCAATAAAATTTATATACCTTGGATGAGTCTAACTAAAGTATAATTACGGTTCGGAAGGAATCCTCATATATCTGCCTAACCAAAAACAAAAAATTAATTTATAATATTATATAAATAATTAATACCATTTATTAACATTATTAAAGCCTGAAGAATCCAAGATCGCATCACAATCGTACGTCAATGACCTGAAGGGACCAGGAAGAGAAAAAGTGGTTGCAGAGGTCCGCAAGCTATTTGAAGTAAGTAATTCACTTTGTCTCTTTTTCCTGCCTTAACTCTCATATCAATTAATTCGTTCGTACTAACATTTTGTTTAATGTATATTTGTTTGAAAAAAGTTATAGAATTTTTAATAGATCTAAAGGTTTTGATAAATATTAACACCTTAATTATCAATATATTAAATTATATATGGGAAGATTGCTTTATTTGGCACAATGGCAATTTGTAAAATTCAATTTCATTAATTTAGATAGAGGGTTTTCTTTTTTTATATATATATATATATATATATATATATATATATATATATATATATATATAGTTATTTACATTCTATCGAAACGTTGAAAAAATAACAACCAATCAATGTTAAACAGTTATTCAGAAATTAGTTTTTTATATTTGTTGCTATTTTATTTTATCTATCTTAGAAAGAGAAGAGGGTCAAAATGTATCAAATTCGAATTAAACTGAACATGAATCTGTCAGCAGCTGAAAAGTAATTGATAACAGTGAAACAGTTTGCCTGAATTACTAATTTTAACTAAGAATCCAGTAACTGGTATACTACATTTTTAAAAACTTATTTATTAAATTTAGTAACTAGTTATTTTTTTATTAAATGACTAGAGGGTACCCCATGACTAAACCAATCCCATTTTACAACTCATTTAATAGTACTATTCGTTATTCAAATTGTAGATAGATAGATAGTTTATTTTATTTGTCTAAGGAAATTCCTGTACAAATAAATATAATGGTATAATTAACAATGTTAGATCTTGAGTCTAGTACTGCATTCAAACATAACATTCACAATGTCCACAGCATTAAGTATGACTAATATAATAACAGATTAGTAAACGATATATATATACATAACAATTAGTAAAACATTTTTATTATTTTTTTTTTTTTTTAAATATTCGAGAGGTATAAGACAAATGACAATATAAATAAGCATTAATATATGTTATATGATTAACTATACCACTTAACAGTTCAATGAACAGCCCTGTATGAAATAATACAATTGGTTTATTTTTTTCATAGTGTCTATTTTCAGTATCTCCTCCACACTAACATCTTCTCTGGATTCAGTGATAAATGTTTTCAAGTACTTATTTTTTGGCTCATTGAACTTGATACATTGGATCAGAAAATGAGTTACCGGGTCAGTTACAAGGCGGTTGCATGCACCACATACCTCACTAGATTTAATAGTCAAAGTAGCATCTTTTAAGTATATTTTCATAAAATCTTTACTTGCTACTCTGAGAGGACTAATGGCTCTTAATTGTTTTTTAAATTCAGAGCCCTGAACTGAAGATAATCCTCTGGTCTGGTAACATTAAAGGAACATATTTTTCTATATCTTGGGTTTGATTTAGAGTTTAACACTCTGTCGATGTCCTTGGATGCGTGATGGTTTCTTATTTTTTCCATGTTTTTATCTTTGAACCTCATCAGACCTTGGGAGAAAACACAAGAAAACAGCCTCTGACATCCCAGTTCCGCCACAATCATCTTTACTTGGGTAACCCAGTTATAAGTTGGATCAATTTTTCCAATGGATGAATCTAGAGCTCTAAGCCTATTAAAGCATTGTCTAGGTAGTCTTTCATTACTCATTAAGCTTAGCTTTGTCCAATAGTTGATCATTTTTTTCAACACTTAACACTTAATGGAGATCTCCCACTTTCAAGGCGAGCCACATAGTTTGGTGTATTTTTTGGCGAATGGAGCAATGACTTGATAAATTGAACTTGCGTCCTCTTCAAAACCTCCAGGTATCTTGTCCCCCAGATCTCTGCAGCATAGAGCAGTGTTGACGAGACCATCGAGTCAAAGAGGCTGGTTTTTGTCTCCCAAGAGTCGCTTTTTCCATTTCTTAGGATTGCCATCACTTTGGTCGCTGCAACAGATGATCTATGTAAGAAATGCTCCGCGGCTCTCTCAAATTTTCCAGAAGAAGAAAAGGGTACACCCAGATATGTGTAGTTTCTGGTATACTCCAAACATGTGTCTTCCCAAGCCAAAGTCTTAAGTTTTTTCATCTTTGGAGATTTATGGAACACCAACACCTTAGACTTAGACGGATTTAGGGTCAAAGATTTGCTTTTACAGTATTCGCTCAGTATATTGATGTTTCTTTGTGCACCATGCCACGAATTACTGAGCACAATATCATCCGCTAACAGAAGCATAACTACTTCATGGTTGTGGTCTAAACTAATATCAACAGCTCCTTGGTCACGGAAGTACTCAACTATATCCGACACAAACAGGATAAACAATGCAGGACTAAGACTGTCCCCCTGAAGCAGGCCCAGACTGATTCCAATCTCTTCTGAGAGCTCATGTTTTAACTTTATCCGCATCGATGAAGCATCATATAGTTTCTTGAGAAGCCTAATTAGTTTTCCCCCCATTCCAAGAGAAAAAAAGCCTTTCCCACAACAAATTTTGGTTGATAGAGTCGAAGGCCTTCCTAAGGTCCACAAACACTGCGTAAACATAGCTGCCCTTTGACCTCAAATTAATGTTGACAACTGACATTAATGTGAATATGTGATCAATACTTCCCCTGCCCTTTCTAAAACCAGCCTGTTCCTCCGGTATTAATTTTTCTAATTCAGCCCATTTCATGATTCTGTTCCTTAGAATGCTAGTGAATAACTTTGCTAGAGTATTAAGCAAGGATATGCCTCTATAGTTGTTCGGATCCTTTTTATCACCTTTCTTATACAGAAGATGCAAGTTAGATTTTGCCCACATTCCTGGAATTTGTTCAGAATTCAATAGGTTATTAAATAAATTTAATATGTAGTGCTCCCAAGAGGGGTTGAGACATTTAACAACTTCATAAGTTATATTATCAGGTCCTGGAGGTTTTTTACAGGTACCTATGCTTTATTGCAGTTCTTCCAATGATATATTGATATCCAGGAGTGGATGAGTTACTCATGTATCGCTTTTTGGCCGTATAGATTCATGTAATATTGAAACCAATCGTTCAGACTTATTTCGTTATTTTGATTATGAAATGGTCTCAAAATATTCACCGTCTTCCAAAACTCTTCACTGTTTTTTAGAGTTCTCAAATTTGTAATTACTGATGCTCTAAACTCCATTTATTTCCATTTTATTTCGTTATTCAAATTGTATAACTTTAATTTACATGTATTCTATAGTTCTGATTGCATTATTTTTTATCAACATAAAATAAATTGAACGAAACTACATTCAGACAAATATTCAATTTCTTGAAAAATCTATATTATACAATGCCTTGTATTGCCAATTTATATTATTATATAGTCATAATTTTTCTTATTGCCAACTTGTAACTATAATATATATTCAACTTGTCCAGCTTCATATAAGCCCAACAATAATTTGAGCCTTTTATTTCTGATATTTTCATTGTACATTATATTGAGCTTTCCTATTTCATAATAATTATCACAAGATAATATAGATAATATTGTATATCATATAATAATTAATATTATTATAACTTATTATTATAACCCCCACTTCAGCATCTAAAATACTACAATTAATAAATTATAGGTTCTAGCATAAACCAATAATTTTTAACTTTAAAACACAACATTTAAAAAATAAAATTTGTCTAATTTAATATAAATTATTTTATATACATTTCTTAAAATAATAATACACTTACATTAGATGCACAAAGATTGGGTAAGTCCGATTCTGGTCAACGAGTTAAGTTAAACTAAAAAGATTAAACATTTATGGTTGAGGGTGGGGAGAGGGTTTGAAATTCTAATTCTGTTAATTTATTATTTGATTCCATGGATCAGGAATAAACTTTAGATCTTCCTTTATATTTAGTGTTTGTTTTAAATATTTTTTTGTGAACAAATTTTATTTTATTTTTATTTTTTTCTTGCCTAATATTTTTACATTGTCAAACATGACTTCATGAATATGTCTATTTTCTGTTGTGTGAGTGCTTAAGACTGTTATATATATATATATATATATATATATATATATATATATATATATATATATATATATATATATATATATAAGGTTTCTATTATATTTTATTGAATTTTTATGTTGTTTTATTTATTTTTTAATTACGCAGTGAATCTGCTATTTAAATTTTTTAACGTGAACATTTTAATTGATTTATGTTATTATTGGTATCTGTAATTTTATAAAAAATTACTTATATTAGAAAAAAATCAGACGTAAATATATGGAATTTTATATGAAGAAAATCACTTCCAATTTTAAATAATTTATATGTTAGTTGTGCTCCCTTGTCAATGTTTTCGGCTCTAGGGTCCCAAAATTTGTCTAAATAACTATTTTATTCTTTCTTAAAATTTTTTCAATATTCCATAATGTAACATCTCTGTAAAAAACTTTTTTTGTAGTGTTTTCAATATCCATTGTCATATGGTATCTATTTTTCTTCTATCAGGCTTTGTTCTAATCTTATTTTTTTAAATTTATTACCTCTCAGAAAAATAATCATTGTGTTCATGAATTAAAATATTCTTAATAACTTTTAATTTACATTGAAGAACATTATATACAAAGCATTCTCTTATCAGATATTGCATTTTTCTCAATGATGGCAGGATATGACCAATTACTTTTAATATATTTGTATTAAGTTATTTAGATTAAACAGAATTTTTATTGGATAAAATATTATTATTTTTTTTTTTTTTTATTCTAGTCTGAAGCTTCCGAAATTGATATAGTTGAGAAAGCAGTGATGGAAGAAAACTATGATAAGTCCTTAACGATGGGACTACAATTCAGAATTCTACTGAATGAAGTTGCTAAAACTTACATCAAGGTTAATAAAATGTTTGCTGTAATGTATCTTAAAAAGTAATATTGATACTATCATGGTAATATTTTGTAATTGATTTGATAGAAAACTAGATTTTATATTAATGTTTTAATATATTTATAACATTTGAATGAAACTGAGATGTCACGCTTCAATATGTAATGCTCTTTCGGGTAAAGTTGATTTGAGTTTAACTAATTGAAGTGTTTTTGCATTTGGATTAAAATATCACAAAAACTAAAATCCAAATCTACATACCGTAAGCAAGCAAAATTTTCAGCATATCATCCACTTTGTAATGAGCTGCAATTCAAAATTATATTTTGACGTGGCACCGAGTTAGAGAGTAGGAAAAAGGAAAAAGATAGTGTAAAAAACAAAATGCTTATGACTGTTTTGAACAATTTATATTTTTAATTTCATATTATTAATTCCACATTATAGATGTTTTTGCTTTTATTGTGTGGTTTTAAGCATACACCATAGTTGTTTTGTTTTTTTAAATAAACAAAATTAAAGGTATTTTAGAGGAAGAAATTTTGAAAAATCGGCTTTTTAGCCCGCCAAAAATTTCAATGAGAATAATAGTTCCCTGATATTAAAAATCACCGCATTTTACACTGACATAATAAATTTAATCAAAATCATTTGAGCCGTTTTTGGAGAAAATTATAAAATGTGTAAATTCGACAATATAAAATGCCACTTCTAGTCAGTTGAATCTGGTGAAAAAGTTGCTTTACCATCCCAGGCATACACCTAATTTAAATAACTGATTTCAGCTTCTTATGACTTTTCATATTTGAGCTAGATTGTTCACACCAGCACCATTTTGTGGAACTTGGTTATTTGGAGTAAGGGAGCTTCAAAATATGTATTTTCATTGAAAACTCAGATTCAAAAATTTTCATGGTCTCAATACTTTTCATTACTAACTATATATTTCATGTATGTATATTTCATTATATATATGAATTACATTTCGTGTTTGTCCTGATGAAGATAATGCCAGTTTATGTCAAGTTCTTCCATATTTCTTATTAATTTTATTTCTATAAATTTTAAAATACAAATTTTTAATGACTATAAGATTATCATCATCATTACTATTTAACTATATTTTTGATAGATTACATCAAAGTGAAATTGTTTTATGATTTTTAGGATAGAAAACAAAAGAATACAGTGGTAGGACAATTGGAAGCCAAGGCTGATGTTGTTTTGATGCCACTATTGGAAAAGGGTGTAAATGTAATTATTTTATTTATTCCTTAATTAAATATAACATATCTATAGATAATAATATCTAAGTTTAAAAAATATATATATCCATTATTATGATTTGTGAGATACCAATAATATTGAACCATCTGTTTATTCAGGATTTAACTGTCACTTTGGATAGTGCAAAAGTTGTTATTAATAACACCGTAAAATTTGTTGTTGACGACATCGACTATGAACTTAAACGCTTGACTAACTCGCTCTCTGTAATTCTGATGTCAACCTTTGATTAAGTATGCAATCGAAATTCTGCTTTAAACACAGGTGAATTAATCAATTTTTATTAACCACCTACAACAAATAAAAAAATATTCTTAAAATATTTAGAAAAATATTTTCTTTATTTTTAATATTAATGGTCATTTTTATTTGTTTATTACAGGATGAATTATGAAGAAATGGTTGAGCCGCAATAATTTCATTTATGTATCAACAATAAAATATTCTTGTTAATCACATGTTTCAAAATAAATGTTTATTTTAATATACTGTTTTCATTTTTATTATGACCAATTAGCATAAAGATACATTCTAGAAGACTGTAATTATTTAAAGCCACTTTACATACCTCAAAATTTTCTTTCAATAATATTATTAAAATTATTAAGTCTGCATTAATTATGTATCTTAAATAATATTTTTAAAACACAACATGCTAGAATGAAACAGCATATAATAGTAATAATGTAAGACTTGTACTTATCTCTCTCTTCTAACCCATTAAAATACTATATGTTTCATCTTAAATTATCTATCACTTTAATATTGAACTGAAGAAAAAAAATTAAAAAAACTAAAGTGTTTGTTTAGATGACATGGAAGAAGTTAAAATGAAGCTATGAATCAAGGATTTATTCTCACAAAAGACATATTTTGAAATTATATTAATGTACCTTTGGCCACCCAAGATAAAATGATACGACTTTACTTTTTTTAAATTTAATTTTTTAGTTTTTTTTTTTTAATTTAAAATTCCTAAAGTATTTTGCTTATAACTTGCCTTCAAAAGAAGCTGGAGAGATTACTATACAATAATTGACTAATAATTTTGAGTATGTTTATGTACTTTTTGATTAAAAGATATTATATCAAGTAAAGAAAAATTACTTTCCCAACTTAAAAACAATTTGTTATCAATATTAGCAACAAAAAAAAAATTTGGTATGCGCAACACAACTTTCACTTACCACTCTACTTTGAATAGAAATTATTTTCTGGCAATGCTGAGACTATTATAAATTTTTTTGAAGTGCATTTTAAACGGAGCTAAAGCTTAAAGCTTACAGATAACAAGTCATTAAGACCATTATAATTACAAAATGTCTATTTATTGTGTCGACGACACAATAAAAATCTATTCACTCCATCTGCTGTTATAAACCGCACAACTTTCTTTGCTTTTATAAACCACAGATTGACCCCAATTTCAAAATTTTTTAGTAATGTCATTTTAGTGATATTTTTAGTTGAAAAAGTTATCTATGCAGGCAGTGAGTAAGTTGATTCCCGAGGTGGTGATTGCAGTGTTGAAATATAGAACTCAGAATAAAGGTTTAAATATAGGTACTACTTTCTTATGAAAGATGTTCTTAGGAAAGATACTTTATTAAATATCTTTAGAAACAAGTTTTTTTTAGTCTCAACAATTAAAAAAATATATTTTAAATTTATCCAAATTTTCGCCTCTCCAGAAAAAAAACTAGAGACCATATCTTTCTTCCTTGTCCGATTTTAACGATTTTTTTTTTTTTTTTTTTTTAGAAAATTCCATAAACTTTTTTAAAAACCATGTAAAAATTGTATACTTTTTTAGTTATTCGGAATTTAATTTTACCATCCCTCGTAACTTTTTTTCCAGCTTCTTTTCGTTGAAGTATGTTATATAGATAAATTTAAAGGGTATCCAGAAAATGATTTTAGCAAAGTTTCATTGAAATCGGTACATTCGTTTAGGGGCTACAGTCTATAGCAACGCAGGTTTTTCTGAATTTTTATTTTTTTTTCTCCTTTATTAATGTATCAAATTCTTTCAAAAGTTATATGTAGCATTTTTTCGTAACTCTGAATAATGCGAAACGATTAACTTTTTAAAATAAACCATATCAAAGGTAGTGATGTAGAGATGGTTGACCGTTTATATGATATGAGAAGGAGTTAGTTGAGGGTGCGGTCAAATAAATAAAAAAATTAAAAAATATAAATAATTTTAATTTTTGCCGACGTTTCGACCCACTTTGCAGGTCGTCTTCAGGCTACAAAAGATACAAACATGTTGAAAAAATAAAAATAAAATAAAAATAAATATAAGTATATATAAATTACGAAGAAGTTGTCAGATACAGAAATAAAAGATAAGGAAAATAAATACATGATAAGAAAATAGATAAAAGAAAATAAATACATGAATGTTAACGAATAAATGAATGTTAACGAATAAATAGATTGAAAATTGAATAACTATTGTTACAGTAAAGTTAAAATATGGATAAGATAACATAATACTAAGATATCAGTGGATAACAAGCAAGTGGAGGTTACCTTTAATTGTAAATAAACAGATAACGGGTCTAAAGGTTAAGAAGTGAAGAAATTGAAAGATTAATAGGGTAACATTAGTGTAATATTGTTGGGATGGATTATTAAGTATAAATAACTCTATAAGAAAACAATAATTTTAAAAGAATACTATAAAATGTAAGAATAAATGTAAAAACAAGGTTATGATGATAAAGAAACAAAAAACAGGTTGTACTATATATAGATGACAATTGACATTTAGTTTTTTGAAAGAGGTAATGGCTGAATGGTAGGCTGAATGAAGATAATAATAGGGTGTATTAGGAAACTGTGGGGCTATGGTGTTTAGGAGATCATTAAGAACAATGTTAGATAAGTCGGGTGCGAGAGGATTACCCATAGCTAATCCTGCAATTTGATTATAAAATTGTCCATGGAACTGGAGATAACCAGATTTGCAACAAAGTTGTAGGGATTGAATAAATGAGGAACGGTTAAGGGAGGTATGAGACTCTAAGGATGACCAGTTATTTTCTACTATAAGAAGGGCTTTATCTATAGGGATGTTGGTGAAGAGGCTTTTAACGTCGAAAGAGACTAGAATGTAATTATCGGGAATGATTAGGGATAATAACAAATTACGTAGATGAAAGGAGTTGTGGATATCATATGGATTGTCATGACTAAGGATTTGTAAGGATGGGAGTAGAAATTTGCTGAGTTTTAAAGAGGGAGAGTTGATATTAGAAGTGATAGGACGGAGGGGAGTGCCGGGTTTGTGAATTTTTGGAAGACCATAGAAACGGGGAGCCACGGAGTTATAAGAGATGAGGTTTCTGTAAGTAGGATATGTGATTTGTTTAGAGTGAGTTTAGAGTTATAATCAAATTGCAGGATTAGCTATGGGTAATCCTCTCGCACCCGACTTATCTAACATTGTTCTTAATGATCTCCTAAACACCATAGCCCCACAGTTTCCTAATGACATATTTCTTATAAAAAAATACGTCGATGACCTTCTTCTCATCGTCAACCCTGATACTATTCCTGACATCCTTTCCGCCTTTAACTCATATCATCCCCGCCTCTCTTTTACAGTTGAATACGAAGATAACTATTCCCTCCCTTTCCTCGATCTTCTCATTAAAAGACATCCCAACAATACTCTATCCACAGACTGGTACACAAAACCGACATACTCTGGCAGATTACTCAACTACTATTCTCAACACCCCTTTCACCAAAAACTTAACGTTGCCAAAAACCTCATTCACCGATGTTTTTCTCTATCTGACCCTTGCCTACATGAAACAAACACTAGACGCATACAACGGATACTATTGTCTAATAACTTCCCCTCCAACACCATTAAAAAACTTATTACTGACTACAAAACCCGCCCCTCATCCTCCATCCCTTTCTCTAGTTCTCAAAATCAGCCCCCCATTCCTTTATATAGATCTCTACCATACATCCCTTTACTTTCAGATAGAATTCAAAAATCTTTACGATCCTCTATTCCCAACCTGCGAGTTGCTTTTAAAAACTACAACAAACTTGCCAATATTTACTCCACCCTAAAAGACCCCATCCCTCCGCAACACCGCTCTAATGTCGTATACCGCATTCCTTGCTCTACCACCAATTGTAACTCTGCCTATATTGGAGAAACCAAAAACCAACTTAAAGACCGCATCAAACAACACAAATACTCAATTACTTCTAAGAACTCTACCGCGTCTAAACTCTCTGAACACGCCTTATCCTCAAACCACACATTTGACTTTGACAATACCTCCATTCTTGCCACAGTACCTAACCACGACAAAAGACTACTTACGGAAAGTGTTTTCATTCAATTAGACTACAAACCACTTAACTTAAAAACCGACAAGCAAAATCTATCACTCGCCTACTCCCAAATCATCAACATTTTAAAAAAGTCTCGATCATAAACCTCTATCTAATCTTCTCACTTCCATTTATACTTTCTTTTACTTCTTTTCCTTTCATATATATATGTATATATATATATATATATTTTTATTTATTCTTTTTATTAATTTATTTATTTATATATATATATATATATATTTTTATTTTTTTTTTTTTTTTTTTTTTTTTAATAATATATATATATATATATATATTTTTTATATATATATATATATATATATATATATTATATATATATGTATATATATATATATATGCGTTTATTTTTACTCGAAATTTTTTTTGACACTGCTAACTAGAGTTTCTTGACACTGCCAGTGTTTCAACTGCCTCCCGCAGTACCACAAATTACGGTATGTTTTTACTTTTATTGTGATTCTTTTCTTAACACACCTATCCTTCAACTATACACCCTATTATTATCTTCATTCAGCCTACCATTCCATTACCTCTTTCAAAAAACTAAATGTCAATTGTCATCTATATATAGTACAACCTGTTTTTTGTTTCTTTATCATCATAACCTTGTTTTTACATTTATTCTTACATTTTAAAGTATTCTTTTAAAATTATTGTTTTCTTATAGAGTTATTTATACTTAATAATCCATCCCAACAATATTACACTAATGTTACCCTATTAATCTTTCAATTTCTTCACTTCTTAACCTTTAGACCCGTTATCTGTTTATTTACAATTAAAGGTAACCTCCACTTGCTTGTTATCCACTGATATCTTAGTATTATGTTATCTTATCCATATTTTAACTTTACTGTAACAATAGTTATTCAATTTTCAATCTATTTATTCGTTAACATTCATTTATTCGTTAACATTCATGTATTTATTTTCTTTTATCTATTTTCTTATCATGTATTTATTTTCTTTATCTTTTATTTCTGTATCTGACAACTTCTTCGTAATTTATATATACTTATATTTATTTTTATTTTATTTTTATTTTTTCAACATGTTTGTATCTTTTTAGCCCTGAAGACGACCTGCAAAGTGGGTCGAAACGTCGGCAAAAATT